GAGGAGAAACTACGGGATATAAAAATCCAACAGGCCTGCCGATCTTCAGAGGCCCATATCGGCAATCTCAAAGTTGATGGCTATTCGGCGGAAACAAAACAAGTTTTCGAATTTCAAGGCTGTTTCTATCACGGTTGTCCCCGCTGCTTCACTGATCAGAGAGATATTCCTCTCAAAAACTGTCCTTCCGAAACTATGAGCAATCGCTATGACACGACCATTGCAAAAATCAATAAAATCAAATCCTTAGGGTATGAGGTTATTGAAAAATGGGAGTGTGATTTTCGCAGGGAACTTTCCAGCGGTGACGAACTTTGCAACTTTGTCACCAATCATCCCCTGCTTAAAAATCTACCCCTCGATCCTCGAGATGCTTTCTATGGTGGCCGAACGGGAAATATTGTCGAATATTACAAGGCCGGGGATGGTGAACAAATTAAATACGTTGACGTTTGTTCGCTCTACCCATGGGTGTGTAAATATGGCAAATTTCCTGTGGGTCATCCGAAAGTACTCGTTGGTGAGGAGGCTTCTACTGTGTCACTTTCCTCTATCTCTGGACTCGTTAAATGTGCGATTCTCCCACCTCAAGATCTTTTTCATCCTGTTTTACCACAGAAAATGAACAGCAAGTTGATGTTTGTTCTTTGTCGTGTATGTGGTGAAAACTATTATACTAGTAGTTGTCATCACACTGATGAAGAGCGTACATTAACAGGAACATGGACTGTTGAAGAGATATTAAAAGCCCTTGAGGTGGGCTATCGGATTATCGAGATCAAAGAGATTTGGTCCTACGATACTGTACAATTTGGTGAAAATGTATCAGGCCTATTCACCGATATGATGAATAAATTCATCAAGGTGAAACAGGAGTCATCAGATTGGCCAAAGCATTGTAAGACCAAAGAGGAAAAAGAGAGGTATATTGATGAGTTTTTACAGCGGGAGGATGTTTTGCTGGAATTTTCTGAAATCACCGATAATCCCGGGTTGAGAGCACTGGCCAAGATTATGCTAAATTCCTTCTGGGGTAAGTTTGGTCAGCGTGAAAACCAACCGAAAACTTCAATCATCAATCAGCCCTCGGAATTCTTTTCTATGATGACGGATCCTTCGCTTATTGTCAATACAGTACTCCCGATAAACGAGGATACCCTCATTGTTAATTGGGAGTATAAGGAGGAGAGCTATGACACTCTTTCCACAGTCAATGTTGTAATTGCTGCATATGTAACAGCCTTAGCTCGGTTGAAACTTTACAGCTATTTACAGCAGCTTGGGGAAAGGGTGTTATACTATGACACGGACTCTGTTATCTATGTTTCCAGACAAGGGGAATTTGACATTCCTACTGGTCAATTTATTGGTGATATGACCGACGAAATGGAATGTTACGGTCCTGGTTCCCATATTACAGAGTTTGTATCTGGTGGCCCGAAAAATTATGCTTACAAGCTATGGTCAACCAAGGAACAAGAGTTCAAAGTTGTTTGTAAAGTTAAAGGCCTCTCCCTTAACTATGCTGCTTCACAGCTTGTGAATTTTGAATCAATTAAAGATATGATTCTGAAATTTTGAGCAAACAGTTCCGTCGAACCAAGGAACATGAGGTCATCACAGTTGATGTAACCAAAAAGTACAAGCCTGTAAGTTTGAAGCGGAAATTTCTCGAAGATCACACTTCTGTACCTTACGGTTTCAAAAAGCGGAAATCATTATAATATTTCAAATCACAGCATCGTCATTCTTTCTTATTTATCAGACAGTGGTAAACAAATTGCGATTGAAGTTTTTTATCAGCGTTCTGTGTAAAATTCGATTAAAAATATCCGGCACAAAGCTCGAGAGAGAGAGAGAAAGTAAAAGCAATCGTTATCACGACCGGATCTATGCAATGAATTTTTGATCAAATCAGCCGTTTTCACGGCTACTTTAAAAATTTGAGGTGAATAGTTCAATGAACGAAGAAAAAAAAGGCCCTAACCATGTAGCGAACTAATGAAGTGTTTTTATTAAGTTAAGAATTGATCTTCGTGCAGCTACAAATAGAACAAACAAAAACTGCTCTGATTTTATATTTCAACAGTCACCTGTCTTACTGAAAAAAAACAATGGGCATTATCTGGCAAATTAATGAAGTATTTCTATTGATTTAGAAATCGATCTTCGTGCAGCTAGATATAGAACAAACAAAAACTGCTCTGATTTCATATATCAACAATCATCTGTTCTATAATGAATTATTCACCTCCAATCTTTAGAGTGTATGTGGTTTTGTATAGGCCTAAAGGGGAATGCTTTTATCCACATTCAGAACAAAGAAAAAAGCAAAACGCGCCAAAAGGCTTTTACCCCGAGGGTGGTGTGGAAACAAAGCTATTCATACTATGTTTCAGGACTTATACGAACTGGTTAATATCAATGTATGACTTTAGTATTTCGGCAGCTCTCCAACAGTACAGACGTAATCAGCAATGCCAAACTGTGCCTGGGGTAGACCATGCAATTGCAGTGACTGCATACCTAGTTTCTGCTCTTTTTGTCGCAAAGAGGGGGTTCGTCATGTGATTGAAGACTACACCACTGATAGAAAAGGGATAGGCGCCTACATTTTCACAGCATGGTGTGAAGATTGTTTCAAGAATAAAATGATATAGATTGTGATTATCTCATTTGTCAATAAAATATTTGATAGGTATCCACATCTTTTATTGATCCCATTACACCCATTACTCTAATAAAATATGTAGGCAGTTCAGATCAAAATCAAGACATAAAATAGAAAGTTCCAAAATAAATGCATCTTTGAGAAAATCTTCACATTATGTATACTTTATAGAACTTTTTTCTATGGACTCTCTATATATTTTGCCAAACCCTAGACAACTGATAACACCCAGTATACTAATTTAAAAACGAAAAACATTTTCAAACCTAGATAACCAAAAGCACCCTGTATATACCATCAACTACATGGACGTTTCGAATGAAAAATAAAATCCCAACTTATTTTATTAGCTGAAATCTAGCATAATATGAAAGACCTGATGTTTTACGAAACACCCTGTATTCAAATAAAATTCAATTTCTGTTATTAGCTGAGAATCAGGCAAAATATTAAACTGAAAAATCTCAATGTTGCACGAAACACCCTGTATTTAAATAAAATTCTATTTCAGAGTTATACTTTTTTTTCGTAAGCTAAATTATACCGAAATATAAAACTGAAAATCCAAAATGTTTTACGAAACACCATGTATTTGAATAAAATCCTAATTCAGATTTTTATACTTTTTCGTTAGCTGAAATCTAGAAAAATATAAAAAATCCTAATATTTTATGACACACCCTGTATTTGAATAGAATCATATTTCAGATTTATACTTGCTTCGTCAGCTGAAATCTAACAAGATATAAAAAAATCCTATAATGCTCTACCAAATAATACCGAACTATCCAAGACTGACGCCTTTTTTTCGGTTGATAAGCAGAAAACTAAGCAACTTACCAATTTCATTGAGAAACAGCTATATCCAGAAATGAACGAGTAGCATCCATCTATACAGTGAGGGTTGCTCCATTATCTAGTTTCCCATACACACACAAACACACACAAACGGCACAGATTTTGGCAAAACACACTAGAACATATTATTATGTCCTACACGAATGAAATAATACTCTTATGAATCTTATGATAGAAAGAAAATATTGTTATTCGAACTTTAATCACACAGGAAATCGCGCCGAGAAACAGGAAATCGTAATCTCGGGCTGTTTCAGTCACCTATAATGAATTATTAAATATTCGAATACTTTTCCTTCTAATCTTCTACGAACTGAAAATGCCAATGTTATACAGGGGTGGCTCGAAAAGAAATTCCTTTTTTCAGTGGGGCACCATATGTATAATATTCCTAAGTGTTGATTATCCCTGGCAATATTAACATGATGTCAACATGACATAGAGGTCTTGATCATTCAGTGGCACTATATTATTATATATTGCTGTACGAGTTAAAACATACCATAGAAAGAATAAATAAATTTGCTATACCGAATGTCTGAAATGGAACATAACCTCAAAGAGCTTTGTCTAGTATTGATGTATGATAGCGTTTTTTTTGGTCATCTGTCAAATGTAATACGTCAGCTGTCTAATCCCGCAAAAGTGGGTGAGGCGTCCAGTATATTTTTTCTTTGATTGCTATCCAACTCAAACGCCCTGTATATATCATGTTATAGCGGGTAGCCTTTATATGTAGGTCGGAGAGGTATAACGCCTTTTGAGTTCACCCTATATTTTTTTCCCAACTATTACCCAACTCAAGTACCCTGTATATAGCCGTTGACGCCCTGTATATATCATGTTATAGCGGGTAGCCTTTTATATGTAGGTCGGAGAGGTATAACGCCTTTTTTGGGTTCACCCTATATTTTTTTTTCCCAACTATTACCCAACTCAAACACCCTGTATATAGCCGTTGTTGAAAAATGGAATGAAATGCGCGCCGTTATCTCTAGAACGGATCTATCGCAGTCCAACCGATGATGACGACCCGTTCGCTAGGCCGCGAGTAGCTAGCCGAGTCAGGCCGGCCTGTGATTGGTCGGCCGAGTCACGTGGTTTGGAGAAAATTGGAGGGGAGGGGCTGGACTGGAGACCGGGACTACCTACTGCGTTGTAACATTTCACATGTGGATTGTCAGAATTCCAGATTTCTTTTAGGTACGCCGCATCTCTGAAGATCGCTTGAAATCATGTGGAATCGATGTTCAACTGAAGAGAAGAAGAATGGGCTTTATCGCATTGAAATTTGCCTTTCCTACTCCTCGTCACAGCCGAAATACCTAATTAATGAATGAACAAATCAGCGTCGCATATAAGAAGAAGTAGACTCCACGAAGAGAACGCACTCTGCCCCATTAAAATAGAACCTTCTACAGCGAATCACGAGGTGAAATGTTGACTTTGTGGAATAATAAATGATACTCACGTTCGAAGCACTTGATTGTCTCGATCACGTGACCGCACGGGCTCTGCAGCCGGCAGGCGACCATCTCCTCGCACTTCACCGTGCAGGCCATCTTGCACAGTTCGACGCATGCGTGGCCACACGTCAACCTCCTCTCGCACTTCTGTCTGCACTCCTGGCGCCTTGGTTCTTCGCAGCACTTCACAGTCAGTTTGTGTCCGCAGGCGTCTATAACTTTTTCGACCTTGACTTCGCAGGGGCCGCACGTGTCGCAGCATTTGTTCTTGCACTGGTGGCCGCACGGCAGATTTCTCTTGCAGGGCTTTTCGCAGGTCAACTAGAATAGAATAAGAGTTGCTCCTCAACTTTCATCCAACCAGATCAGATAATAATCAAACCATTTTACGCTGAGCTGACATATTGGATATTGTTTTTTGATTTTCCGGCTCTGTTATCAAACAGCGATAGACAAAATATCGAGCGACATCATAGCGCGGGAAGAAAACCGCGCGTGACAAAAAAACAACAAGGAAAAATAGCGCCGCGACATAATAGTAGGGAAGCCCACGCGGAGATTTCGGGATTTATTCGAGCGCGGCATATTAACATTACGATGGTATCCTTTGACCTTGTGAAGTACTCCTACTATACCTGGGCCCTTTATATGGTGTCGTCAGAAATACTCGATCGCGTCAGATTGAGACATGGTACGTGTATTACATGCAGAAAAGTGTGCATTTCGATAATCTTACGATTTGAGCGTGACATAAGGAAATGGGAGAGACACAAAGTTGCAAAAAAAATTGGCACCTGTCAGTTGATGTTTTTTTTATTTTCCAGGCAATTAAACACGGATCACAGAAATAATAATATCTGCCGATTTTCACAAGCCGAAGTAGCAAATATTATCAATTGAGTGTGGTGCTTGCAGCCATTGGGAACTATGTTTGTAATTGTGGTAACGTACGAAACTGAAAAAAATATCATTTCGTATATTGTTATCAATCAGCTCATAAGGAGGAATCTGAAAATGCAATGAAATACAAGGTATGCTATAAGAAAAAGTAAACCTTTGATACGCCACGCATTTTTGAGTAACCCCAGTAATGATGAAGGCTCAGTCGCACTGATATAATGGCGCATTTCATAAAGAAATATAGAAATAGTGAATAAAATTCTTGCATAATTTTATTGCCATTATCAAGCAGTAACCTAATTGCAAGGATTAATAATTGTATGTAATACAACGCAAAAACTCTGAACGCTACCAAACCTGCATGGATGTGCTGTGTTGTGTCCAAATTTCGATTCACCCATATTTCGAGTCTACCATATTTCGATAGGTCCACATTTCGGCGAACTCACAGCCACCAAACGTACTCGAAGAATGCACTGTGGCCAAATGTAGGTGTAACACACAGTGTCGAAAGGCCCACAATGGCAGGACTCTATTTTCTTTCATGGCTCTCTAAATTCCGAAGACGTAATCAATAAAAGGAAGAAATAGTATATTGTTCGACTAGCACGGAATGATAGTGATTTCCTATACGAGAATGAAGTTTGCAGTATCAGCCATAGACGAATGCTACGATCATTTGAGTAGGAAATTAGCATTCCGTGCAAGTTATACACTTTGATTTTCTACGGGTATAATTGATAACAGCGACATTTTCGATTTCTTTGTCTTGTAGTCATCTGATTTCCTGACGAGTAATGCTAATCTATTAGAAAGAGCTGTCAGCATCGCTTCACATTTGACATTCTATGAGCGATGAGATTTATTCGAAATAATAACACAATGGAGTCATTGTGATAACAGATGAGGAAATAATATTGATGGCATATAAAGTACCACATTGACGTATCGAACACAGAAAAACAAAAGCAATTTTGTGTTATAGCCATAGAAAAAATATAATTTCTGCATAAGAAAGGGGGCCACTTCTTCTAAACAATCTGATCTAACTTGTCTCCTCCTAGAAAGTATTTTTTCAACATAGATCTGATTTGAAGACTGTGGCTGAATCTAAATGTGGGCGTGGCAAAAGGTGGGTGAATTGATATGTGGGCCTAATGATATTTTTCCATCTGCATTGGTCATCTTCACCTGTAGTTCCTTTAAAGAATTGAAAATTCTGTCAATTCGATTTTTTTCACACTTTACTATGAATAGTCCAAAATGATTCCTTTTCGATTTCGTCGAATAGTGGCACACGAAAGATTGTGGCATTAAAGAGTTTTTTGTAAATAAATGCATAAAGCAATATTTTTCCGTACATCTCATGCAAGGAAGTGGAAATGAGATATACCTTATACTTTCTGTACCTGTACCTGTATCCTTCTTCGTTCAAAATAGGAACACCTGTTTCTAGCCGAAATGTTTTGGGCGCTATTTCGTCGCATTTCGAGAAATCCGAGTGCTGTTTAATTATGCGTCATTTTGACCCTCTGTGGAAAGTCTGAGTGTTATTTTGTCCTGCGCCATTTTGACGCTCGCTTCTTTGTGCAGCGCTGTTTGATAACAGATCCTGATTTTCCTGTAGGAATATTAGTAGCATCTACGATTCTGTCATTTCACGAAATGGCGAAGTTTTGTCACGTTCAGTGATGTGATGTCAAAAATATCTCAGTTCAAATTCGAATTCGACATTTTGAACGTGAACAAGTATAGAATTTTCGTGAAATGGACAAACGATAAGCAGAATTGCCCGGATATAAAGAATGTGTGATCAACAGATGTGAAAATATTTCTGGAAGAAACAACCTGTCGGGGCTTGTTTTGCGAAAAGTCAAATTCTAGAAGCATTTCATGTAACAATTGGATAAATGACGTTAATCTCCTATTTCGACCCCGCTGAATCCGAAAATACCGTTTATCAAGTCGAAATTCCAACCGGAAGTGAGATATTCAAGATGGCGTCCGAAATACCCCTAAAATCTAATTATTTTCTACTTTCGGTCAGCTATACGATTGAGGTGTCGATGTCTATGTTTTCGGGGGTGTAAAATACGATGAGACACTCAAAAAATGATTTGGAGCATTGAAAGTTCATCGAATGATCAAATTTTGACGAAATAGACCAAAATTCCAAAGAACTTGTGAAAACGTGTTGCATAATGTATATGCTTGCATACGCTTTCGAGGGTGCTCAATAAGTTTATGAGCCAAAAAAGCATTTGAACATTGTCCAAGCCTTCATTTCTTATATTTTGAGAGAGCCCCTTGCAGCCACGAGTTCCAAATTCGGAAAATGAATTGGGAATAGGTGGCAAAGTCATCAGGATTGGGACATATCGTCCATCAACAATTTTCCAGCCGTAATTATTCGGGTCTTATAAATCAGGATACTGATCATGGGCCTTAATCCAAACTAGTATCTGAACATAACATTAACATCCTTCGATTTGCTCAATTTTCTTTTACCTGGAAGTAGCACCGGAGAATGTGTTGACGGAGGGCATCAGTGGTAGATGGCGAAAAGCATTCGCACTGTCCAAAAAATTGCAACATGGGCTGCGTCTGCCGTTGTAATGTCCGGTAGTATCGAAACGGCTAATAGTTCTTATTCACCATGTGTCTCAGAAAAGGGACGCAACAAACCTTGTTTAAAGCTTGCACCACAAACTGTTCAACCAAATCGGGGGCTAGATCGGGAGTTTTTACAAGCTGACTGAGGAGTTTACAGTAGTTTTCTTCTATGTACTTGCTTCCACCGTTCTGTTTTTGTGACTGACGATAACTTAAATGAATTATCACATCCAGTGATTGCGTGGAAAGCCATCAGGTTTTTTATCTGTTGTGGTGCAAGTTTCTTACATAGTTCGTGAATTGGAATATACTCCATGCGTAAAAACCGAAAGAGAGGCTGTTGTTGTTTCTGTTAAAGACACTAGTGTGATTTCATTATTCATCTATCACTTTGAAAGAATGAAATGCAAGGAATGCTGGGTGATGTGTGGTACTTCCCGAGATAGAAAGTATATTCCAATTCATGAACTATGTAGAAAGCTCACATCACAACAGATCAAAAACCTGATGGATTTCCACGCAATCACCGAATGTGATACTAAATCTAGATGAGGGTCTGCCACAAAAACAGGACGGTGGAAGCAGTACATTGAAGAAAACTACTGTAAACTCCTCAGTCAGCTTGGAAAGACTCCTGATATAGCCCCCGAGGATCTCCGTTTGGTTGAACAGTTTGTGGTGCCAGCTTTATACAAGGTTTGTTGCGTCCCTTTTCTACGACACATGGTGAATTAGAACACTGTTAGCCGTTTTTATATTAATATCATTTTTATTTCAAGTCGGACCGGACATTACAACGGCAGACGCAGCCCGTGTTGCAATTTTTGGGACAGTGCGAATGATTTTTGCCATCTACCACTGATGCCATCCATCAACACATTCTTCGGTGCCACTTCCAGATAAAATTAACAAGAAGAAAAAGAAAATAGAAAAAATCGAGGGATTTTAATTTTAGTCTGTTTTCTTTTTAGGTACTTACTAGTGTGTGGTTTAACGCCCATGATCAGTATCTTGATTCACCAGACCCGATTAATTGCGGCTGGAAAATTGGTGATGGACGGTAAGTCCCAATCTTGATGACTTTGCTACCTATTCCCAAGTCATGTCCCGAATTTGGAGCTTGTGGCTGCATGGGGCTCTGCGACCACTGCGGCACGAAGCAGTGTGGCTGCAGGGAGCCGAATGGAGCAGAAAAAATGAGGAAGACTACTAATAGTGAACTTTTTTTTTCTCAAAATATAATAAATGAAGGCTTGGATAATGTTCAAATGCTCATAAACGTATCGAGCACCCTCGAAAACGTATGCAAGCATGTACATTATACAACACGTTTTCACAAGTTCTTTGGAATTTTGGCCCATTTCGTCAAAATTTGATCATTCGATGAACTCTCAAAGCTCTAAATCATTTTTTGAGTGTCTCATCATATTCTACACCCCTGAAAACATAGACATCGACACCTCAATCGTATAGCTGACCGAAAGTAGAAAATAATTTGATTTTAGGGGTATTCTGGACGCCATCTTGAATATCTCACTTCCGGTTGGAATTTCGACTTGATAAACGGTATTTTCGGATTCAGCGGGGTCAAAATAGGGGGTTAACAGCATTTATCCAATTGTTACATGAAATGCTTCTAGGATCGTATCGGAGGGCTTTTCTTGGAATTTAGCCCCGACTAGAGTGGCTTTTCGTAGATCAACTGGAACAGAATCGGAATTGAGCTCTTTTTTTCCTTGAACGAGAGAAAGGGAAGTTCTCTCCTCTTCCATCTTCCTCTTCAATGCTACCAACGTGGCCGCATTGAA